TGACGGAGGTGATGGCATTTTCTATAAGCCATCAGAAAAGGAAAAGAAACATTAAAGAAGATGTTATTAAAAGCATATGTCATTGTCACACTTCAGGTCCTGAAGGACATCTGAGGCTGTTCTGGAAAAGGCAAACTTCATTCTTGAGAAAGAACATAATGTTAATTTGCTGTAGGATAAAAATCTACAGTATCTGTTGAATTCACATAACTGAACACTAAGGCAGACCTCTTTAGGTCTAAATTGCAGCTTTCTTCAGCCAGTGAAACTGCACATCCTCTCAGATATCTGTGATATACTTAGTCACATAATCATATTGTGACAGCTTGAAAGGAGGAGGACTCAGAAAATAGAAAAGCAGTTTAAATTCTTATTGAAACTATTTATTTTTGGAAGACAGTGGTATGCATTTTGCAGAAACAATATAATCCTTTCCCTGAGGAAGCTGATATTTTCCAATGGCCTTCAAGAAAGCTTACATTCATTGAATAATGTTGTTGGCAGGGACCGTGGAAGGTGGCTGAGTCCACTCTCTGCCTGAGGGCCAGTTTACCTGGGCCAGCTCTGAACCATGGTGCAACCTCTTCTTGTAGAGTCTGAGGTTATAATTTTTATTCTCTAATCTTCTTCCTTTGTTTTAAACCTTGATCCATCCACTATTGAACTGGAGAGCGAATTGATCCTTTTATCTTTACAGCACTTGCATATACCTGGTATCAGTACTGCATAGATATGTATATTTATCCTACTTTCTCTCTTCAACCTAAATTCCACGTTGTGGGTTTCCTTAAAAAATTTCTTCTAAGTCCGATTTTATAGATACCTAATTATTCAGATTGTTCTTTTCTGTTCTTTCCATGGGCTACATATTTACTGAAGCCAAACAGACCATGGCTACTAGGTTTTCCTAGGGCCATGTAAATAAGGCTGTTTCACAAAGAGTCTGTCCTTCTTTTCTGTATTGCATTATGTGGTTTAACTTTTTCATTGCAGCTCTGTGACATTATCCACTTTTTAAAAACCAGAACTCTTTTTTTTTTTTTTTTTCCTGCAGAACACCCAGTAGTTTCCCGTTTCCTGTTTGTATAGCTGATCGCATCTGCCACCACCCAGTAGCAGGCACTTATCCCTGTTGAATAGAATCCTCCTTTTTCCAAACCAAACCACTAGTGTGCGAAAATCCTTCTAAACTCAACATCTGTCCTCCAGCATTCTAAAGACTCTCAGTTTGGTATAATCTTCAGTAATGTAAACATGTTTTCTGAACCATCACTGAGTTCATTAACATCCGTCTGACAACGAGCCGCTTGTATAAGCTCCCGAAATAACTTCTTCTACGTTGTTTTCCTTGTTTGCTGAAAGAATATCATATGAAACCATGTCAAAAACCTTACTAAAGTGACATCCAACATGACCTTCAATGGTTCTCCTCCGCTGATGATTCCTCTTACTTTGTAGCAGGAGAGATTAGATTTGACATCTTTTGTTCTTGACAAAGCTGTGTTGGCTGTTACTTGTTGTGTTACAACTACTTAAAGATAGCTTGTTTACTTGCCCCAGTATCTTTTCCATGTACTGAGGTAAAAAAGATTGGCATGTAATATCCTCTTTCCTTCTTTCTTTTTCAACAATACAGTTTCTCCCCTTCTGTCCTCTAATATTTGTTCACTGTAAATTATCAATGATAACCATTAGTTTTCATCCTCCAGCCCTTTAAATTCAGGTGATGGAAAAGCAGTAAATTATGTTTGAATATTTTTTCACTTGGTCCTTTGATTGTCAAATCTGAAATGTCTTTTTTCCCAATTATCAATAATGCCTGATATATATATATATGTATGTATAAAAGTAGAAATTAGATACAAAAATATTAAAAAGCTTGACTTTCTCGGTGTTGTCTATTAAAAACTTACAAGATCTGCTTGATAGGGGCATAATCATTTGCTTGATTCTTTTCCAAGCCTGGTAGTGTACTTAAAATTATTTCATGTTACCCCAAATATCTCTTACTAGTTGTGTCTCATTTTTTGCTGCCTTTTCTTACTTTATCCCTGCATGATGAGGCTATGCTTTTGTAGTTCCTCCAAGTAACCTGACTCAACTTCTCTTTTCTGGAAGGTTCAGTCCTATCTGAGGCTCAGGAGGAGCTTGTGACAACCAGGCTGATTTTTCCTCTGCCTGTTGCATTTTATGCCTGGATAGTTAATTTATTTATACACTTAGTGTTGTTTATTTGGAGAAGTGACAGTTTTTAAACATTTTTTTTGTCTGCATCAACCTCCCAGAATATTATGTTGACCACTTGTAGGAGTTCATGGGAACCTACCTCTGTAAGATGTATTTTTTGGTGTGTTTTGATGTTTTTGCTTTTTTCTAAAATCACAGAATCTCCCTGCAAAAACCTGCAAAGCCACACATTTATATATATATATACACATACAGATATATGTATACATACAGACATATGTATACATACATATATATACATGTAGATGCATGTATCTATCTCATCTCTCTCTTTGTGAAGAACACTGGGAACTTAAATAAATTCCTGGTTTTTCTGGTATTTCAGTTAAGTACCTACAAAAGAAAATGAAAGATGATGGGCGAGTCACCAGAAAACAAGCTCATAATTCCACTGGAAAATAGAAGCAGTCAGGATTTCTTCTTACTTTTCTAATAATCCTGTAAAGAATTTTTTTTGTTTTACATCAGCTATAGCTTGTAGGTGAAGGACACATATGAAGGTATTATAAATCCATTTCTGGATTAGAAGAGGATGTTAAAAGTTTTCTTCTATTCCACTCTTTTTACTGGTGATGTATCTTGTAGACATTTGCTCTTATGACTATTGTTTACTCTGCTTCATCACATCAGGAATCTAAGAAGCAGGATTATTGTTGGCTGGACTTTCTGATTTCAGCCTTCAGGGAAAATTATGAGCAGGTATAGGACGGCAGCAGCTCATGTTGTTCTGCAACAACAGCTGCAGAAACCAAGATAGGGTGTACCAGTGACTCCCAGGGAACAGATTCCTCAGATGTTGTATGGCTTGGGTTAAAGAATAGCTTTAAAATATGTTTTCATTTCCTCTGTGTCTCACAGGGACTTACTCTGTGACACTTGGCATGTTTGTGTATGCATCATTACAATGAACATAATCTCTCACTTTCCTGCAAAAGTTCAATATTACAGTAAGGGAGATATATTTCAAATTAAAAGCAGCATTCATCTGCATTGGTGATGAGCATAACACACTTCAGTATAAGGGCTTTTTGTAAGAATGTTTCAGGATTTCTTTCTCTTCCTCTTGTGTAATTACTTGGATTAGCATATTTTTAATTGTTTCTTTCATGTTGTCTAAATATTAAATATTTATAATTATGTCAAGGACTCGTTTTCCTTGTTTCTAAAGATCCGTTTACTGCTTTTGAGAGTGCTTAAAGTAAATTGTCAGTAGTAACTTGCAGTATATGCAGTTATAAAGTGGGCTGTATGAATTTCACTGTCATACAGAAGAGTGTGAGGGGGATTGGGTAGATATTTGGGGTTTCTTTTCTGTGCTTGGGTTTTTTTTTTTCATTAAAAGAACTCACAGAATATCACTCTCATGACTTTTGCACAATTTCGCATTTAAAATTTCACTTCCAAGTGATGTTAAACAGTGAAGACGGAAATTGGTCACAAACTCCTCTGAACGCTGGTAGCATTTAAAGTATGATTTTTTTACCAGTTCTGCTTATGCCTACTCGCCTCTTGGGGTCTGAATTAAAACGCCCAAAGCTTATAAAACTGGAATGCATCCTCCTAAGACGCTAAGGAAGAGCTTTTTCTATAGTATCTACAAGCTTAGATGTCTGTAAAATAATTGTGTGATATTTCCCAAGCGGATATGCAGCGATTATAGCCTTTATCACCCGTTAGAAGCGGCTACACGTAATTGCAGGCATACACCGCGATTCACCACGTGCACGCCGCCGGTGCCGGCACCGCCTGCCTCAGGTTTTCCCTCAGCATTCCCTGCCATCGATCCCTCACGCCTTTTCCAGCCCTTCGCTGCTCACACCGAAGTCCCCTACAAAAACACCTGCTCATTTCGCCCCTCGCACAGCGGTCCCGCTCCCTGGGTGCAGCAGCCACCGCCAACCGCGACCCCCCTCCCTCGCTCCCGCCGCAGGTCCGGGCGCAGCGCGGGGATCCTGACGAAGCGGGGATGCCGGGGAGTGCGGGGATGGCGGCCGTGAGGGGATGCCCGCGCCCGGGGATGCCCGCGGGTCGCGCAGCCCCGAGCGGAGCCGCCCCCGCCGCGGCGGGCGGAAGGGGGACGGCGTGGGGGGGAGGCCTCGCGCCCCCGGGGCCGCTGCCGGGCATGCGCGGTGCCCCCGAAACATGGCGGCGGCGTGAGGCGGGCGGCGGCAGCAGCGGCTTGACAGGACCGACCCGCGCCCCGCTCGCCCGGTGAGTGGCGGCGGCGTTTCCCGCTCTCCGCGGTGGCGGGCAGGGGGAGGGAGGAGCGGAGGGAAAAAGGGAGGCGAGACGGACGTCGCGCCCCCTCCTAGGGCTCGTACCGCAGCCTCCGCCCCCCGTGGCCGCCGGACGCCCCGGTCCTGGGTTCCCCTCCTCGGCAACACCGCCGCGCTGGAGGCGGCACCAGGTCCAGCGGGGCTGCCCCATGCTCCAGCGCCGCTCCCCTCCTCTGCGCGCTGAACTAACAGCGCGGCGGGTCCCGCCGACCCCGCCCGCGGGGAGCCGCGGGTGGCCGGGTACGAGCGGAGCGAGGCGGCTCTGCCTGCCGGCGCTAACAGCGTGCCTCTCTCTGTCCGGGGTGGCCGCGACTCCCGGATAGCAGGAGCTCCGGTGGGCGAGGGCGGCACGGGAGGTCCCCGAGCCGCCAATGCCTCCGGGACGAGCGGCGGGGCCGGCGGCGTTTGACAGGAGCGCGAGCAGGACACGCCTCCCCTCGCCGGGGCGGCCCCGCTGCCTCCCCCGCGGCGGTGGCTGCCCGTCCGCCGGCGGGGATTGTCCCTTCCCGCCGACCGCCGAGGCTGGCGAAGTGCTGGGGAACGGGCGTCGACCAGGAAAGCGGACGCGTGTTAAAAATCATTTAATTCCGAGCGCTCGCTTGTGTTGGGTAAGGGGGCTGGGTGTGCCGCTTGAGGACAGCGCGGTGCCGGACGTGGCCTGTTGTGGGGCACTTGTCGGGTTGCGATGCGCTGCGGCGCTGTTCCCGTTTTCTTTACAGTTAAACTGCGTATGTGGCATGTATTGATTGCCGACTTAAAGGGCGTATCTTGCACGGGGACTCATAATTTTGGATAGTTCAAAGAAAGTAGTTAAGAGTATGGAAAGTTCTGTTGCGGTGTTGTGTGTCGTTGTCGTTAGCTGCTAGGCTAACCTATAAACACAATGCAATGTTGTAGTGTGTATCAATATTGAAGTTAAATTTTATGCTCAAATATTCTTTAAGAGTGAAGGCATGCTTTAAGTGTTAATAAAATTTAAAGTTGAAGTCTTTCCTTACAATAATTTGCTCTTTCTGTCTGATGAGTAAGACTATAAGAGAAAGCAAAATATAATTCTAAGATGTAAAAGGTTTAATGAAAATGGGAAATACTGATATTTTGTTGGGTTCTGGTAATGTAAACTTTGCTTGTGACTCACGTATATCCTACTAATGTAGACAAGGTGATTAAAACTTAAAAAACGTAGACTCTGTAGATATGACAGTAGGTTTTCAGAGCATGCTGTGTCTGACTTGTAAACAGATCTACAAGTTTGACTGGTTATGAATTTTTTATAATACAGCATAACAGTCTTAAACCTTTGGATTTTAAGATCATTCCTGCTCCACTTTACTCTTCGGAAGTGACAGAGCAAAGCAGTTGGTGAGGCAGTCGTGCAGGGTCAGTAACAACTGCAGCACTGGTGCAGATGGGAGCAGTATTGCAGGGAGGCGTTCGCTGTGTTACATTTGGGTTTTGGGCTGTCAGTTAACACTACCGAGTAAATAGGGGAGTGAATGCATTGTGCTGCAGCGGAGAGGCCACCATCAAGTGCTGCTCTGGCCACAGCAGCCCACAGCCCACGTGAGCGGTTGCACTTACAGTGTGGCCACAGAAATTCTTTGTACAGCCAGGCTGTGCTTTGGGGGACAAGGGGAGCTGATTTTCTCCCTTAGGGTACCATGAAATGTAAGTACTATTTAAGGATGATATTACTTGATCTGATGTAAAAAAGAAGTGCACTGGAGACCCTTCAGTTAGTATTTTATTTATGGGAAGTCACACAGTAATGCAAGTGGGAGCTGCAGGAAACGGTGAATGGTGAAACTTTAGTTGAGACCGGGAAGTATTTATAGGGCTTTTAACTTTAACATGGTCTGGTCTTGAATATGAAAATGGAGTTTATTAATTTTGTTTGAAACTCAGTTGATGGAGTTGATGCTCTGTTTTTCTATTTGATGTAAATAGGTAGCAGTATTTGTGTGATATCTTTCAGGTTGCGTGGTATTTTATGTTTTTGTAGTAATGTTCAGATTCAGCAAAAACAAATGTTGGCTTTTCATGATGTATTGTAGTAAAAGGATAAACCACTTTCACAGCAATTAGAGGCCATGTAGATGTAAGAACATAACATAACCAGATTGTTCTTAATATTCAGACATTAATATGTCTTGATGTAGAAATTTTAGGAAACAGGCAACAGCAGTACTTTAAATATTTTTGTTTTGATTTTGTGTGTTCCTATGTTGAATGTACAGATGCTTCCCCCTCCCTCCTTGCTGTGACTGCTGTTGCTGTGACCAGATAGTGTGCTCTTAAGGCAGAGGCATTGTTTTCTGGAATAGCTGTTCACGTTCAAAAGAGGCATTTTGCAAGTGTGAAATTCGTATTACTGAGAAGGTATTGATTCCATTACCTCTATAAAATTTGTGCTAAAATGCAGCTTTACATGAGAGAATGTGAAGAAACTCTAAGCAAACATAGCTGCTTGTGCCTGTTGTACATAGGTGTCTTTTTTTGTTTTCTTGCCATTTAAATGGGATTGTGAGCTGCGAGCGAGCCCTGCTTACTCCCTTTGCTGAGTGAACGGGGACAAATGAAGTCCTCAGCAATTATCTACTGCCACTAAATAGTGTCACTAACAGGAAATGACATTTGTCATTAACTGTTCAGGACACTGCAGCTGGCTTTCTTATTCGTGTGGACACATCTACCTCAAACAAGGGTGAGTCAAATACATAGTTATTATTTTCATGTTTTAAGGAAGGCTTTAGAAATATCATTTGACAGTCTATTGTGATATTTGTAAAGTGCAAACATAGAACAAATTACAGGTAGGGACCAGGACACTGCTTCAAGGAGTCTAGACAAGGGAGGTTGTTAACCAATTTTGTGAGCTCCACATCTGTAGGGCATTTAAAGTTCTGTTCATTCCCATTTGAAAGAAATAGCCTTAGGCCCCCAGCCTTAGTGCTGATTGTTTGTTTCAGAGATTAAAATCTTAAGTGTAAAGGGCTATACTGTTTGTATTCTTGAAAGTGTAAGACATGCAACATAAATTGCTCAGAATGAGATTTTTCTAGCATGTGGGAAGAGCCAGAAAAGCCCATATGAAATTGTCAAAGCATAATAGAGCAGTGGGTAAATAAGAAGCAATGGAAATGTTAAATTTAAAGTTCTAGAATATTTGTTAACATTGTCATACAATTTGATGAATAATTCCTTTTTGCTGTGATTGTGCTTTTGATATAATGAGGGTGCTTTTCCTAGAAAATATGTACATCTTCTTTGGAGATTTCTTATAAGATCCAATTGCTCTATAATTTTTAGGAATCTTTAATATTAGTTATATGCAGCTAAATTTATTTTTGCATTGTAACGATGACTGATAATGTGAGTGTGAGCAGCTTTCCTTATGATATCTAAGTGGAGGGGCAATTAATTTGTTTGAGGGAAAGATGCTGAAAGACTCTGTGCTTCTGTGTAAATACTATTTTTGTATCTTCGTGCACCTGCTGGCTGACTTGATGTGTATGGGCAGTGAGGGCTGAGGTGTGCACCCGGCTCCTGCTGCAGTGCTGGCCATGGAGCAGCAGTGCTGCCTTGCTCCTGGGAGCAGCAGGAGATGATTTGGTGAGTCACCTGCTCAGTCCAGATGTGTTTCTGTAAACTGATCACATTGCCGAAAATTCCTGTTCTGTATCTGTGTTCTCTTCAGGTAGGTTACCATCTTTTGGGGTGGGAAGGGTGGCTTCAGGTACCTGAGCCAACAGTGAGCAGGCTCCCCTTTTATCTGCAGCAGATCTGTACACAAAGAGTGACTGGTGCATAAATGGTGCTGATGACCATGGGAGGTACTTTTATCTCGTCTTTCTGCTTGGTCAACAACGGTGTAGGTCTGGAGGAAAGTCAGGAGCTGCCTCATAACCATTCAGAAAGCAGCAGCTGTCTCTATTACCAAAGTTATGACTTTTATTTATTTGGGCTTGCTCTGATAGTTTCTTTTATATACAGTGTACATTTGGTGTAAGTGCACACAACTAAACCATTTGTAGTACAGCGTATATAATGTGTTACACCCTTAGGACTGTGTGTCTGCAGGGATGAGCTGTGTATGTGCCCTTAGGAACTCTCTGCCCAAGATCCCTATCAGAAAAAGTAGCAGCTTTAGTTTCTATGTCTTTTGGATAGGATCAAAAATTCATTATTTTCTTATCTGGATCTAAATGAAGTGCGGATTTCTTTGTGGTGTTAAGTGCCATGTCACTTTTGTTTCAGCAGTCTTGTTTCAAGACTGGCTCGTAGCTTCGAACTTCAGCTAAGGCACCTGCTTTATGGGTAGTGGTTGATGAGTTTGGATCCAAGCTTGTGCAACATCAGTGCTTATTGTGGTTCCTAAGTGTGCTTTCTTCCTGCTTTTCTGAATTACCTGCAGAGCCTAATGTCAAAGTGTTTCTGAAATACTACACCTTTAGCAGAATTTTAGTGCTCTTTCATGTGATTTGGCAGGATGATAGCCTTTCTGCTTCACAGGTAGGAAGGATGCTGTCTACATATCTTATGTCCAAACTAATCCTAAAGTACATTTTCTTTTTTGGCTTTGTAAGAATAATGCGGTATCCAGTTTAAGCATGAGCAGTGTTTTGGACTGATTACTGATTTTTTTTTTTAAACCCATAAGTGGTTTATATTCTTAATATTTGTATGTTGTCATCTAAACCCAAGTAAAACATTGTATTAAAGGTGGATGTGCTGTTTAGATCATTTTATTCTAGGCCTTCAACTTCAGAAATCAGGTTAAATTCTATTTAAGATACCAAGGGAATTCCGTCATTTTCCTTTCCATCAATTTTCATAAAAGGGATGAACTTCTTTGATGGAAATCTAAGTCAGTTGTCTTCTCAAGGTAATATGAGACTCCTTTTAGTTTAGGGCAAAGATGAGGTTGAGCCTTTCATCCTCTACCATACATTAGTGCAGGGAGCAGCTGAAGTTTATAAAACCTGTAAGAGAGTAGCACCATTTTAATGAGGTGCATACCTAAAATGAAGCATGTACCATTATTTATGTACTGTGTGGAATATATCAGAGATTAATGCAGGCAGGTTCAGTGGAAGGAGTGCAGTTTGTGGGGCACTTTTAAAAGCCCACTTAAAAAGGGCAGTTTGTAAAACTGAGTCTTGTGCATGGAGGAATGTGAAAGGGTATCAGAACTGCTAAATTTGGTGGAACTCTTTATTGTCACTAACATCTGTCAGGGGCTCAGAGATTAAAAGGGCTGCTGCATGTTTGATGGTGCTTCCCCTACCAAATCTTCCCTCTGTTGTATGTGTATCCTGTACTGAAGGGTTGTAAAGAGGCAGAGAGTGTTTTTTTGGGAAGGTTAGATGATAGGAACTAGTTTTAATTCCAAAATAATCAGTGTTATGGTTAGATGGAAAACTCTGAATATAGTTTGTAATTATTTTTCAGCTTGTTGTAGGAAAATACTACCTAGTCTGAATATTTCTGGTGCTCAGTAGGTGGAGGAAAGAGGGGGGCTTGCCTTCAGCAAGGGGATCTCCAGAAATGGCAGAAAGGGGGATACTCTGCCACTGTCCCGGGCCTGAGCCACGTACAAGCAGTGACAGATGTGCTGTCATGCTGAGGAAGAGGTGGAGGAGATTGCCCTGTTATGGCTTGCTTCACCTCTGTGCTGTTTTTTGAAATACAATTGGGAAGTTGTCATAGAAAGTGGGAAGAGAGATACAGATTTGCTGCACATTTTCTTGATGCTTTAAGTCTTTAGTTATCTTCTGTTTTTGAAGAGTGAAGCAAATAGTACAGCGGAGTATTTGCAGCTGTCTAGTCCTTTGAGCATTTAGGAGTTGTTATGTCTTTTATGACCTGTTAGTGCTTTGTTAGCTGCAGAAATGTCTAGCAGCACTGAATGGTCCTTCGGAATGGCATTTGGTGTGATTCTTTGGGTTGTCCTGTCCAGGATCTTAATCATCCTTATGGGTCCATTCCAACTCATGATATTCTGTGATTCAATGATAATCTTTGTCCAATAGATGGACAAATATTTTTGGTGGCATTTGCATGAAGATCCCTTGTGTAAGGGGACTTTTTGAGTTGGGGAAATAGCACAGATATCAGCACCAGCAAGGTGAGTCCAGTGCTTGTGCCTGGAAACTGCAAGCAGCTCTCTGGGGTTTTTTTCCTGTAGAAACATTGTCTTGACAGAGGAGCTATCAGGAAATTGCTTAAGGGTTGTTTAGTTCTGGTTGGTTTGGTTTTGTTCCCTGACTGGGCACCAGTACGTGGGATCAGTGAGTTATTCCATTATATAAGCCAGGCTACACCATGAAGTGTTGCAGCAGCAGAAAAATCAGTTGAGGCAAATTGTGTCTTTGTTAATATAGAGTGACGGGGCATCCCAGTCAGCATTATGTTGTTTGGATTCTCAAGTGGGAGAGAGAAACAGGTATTTTATGCACTGGAAGAGGATGGTTGCAGAAGTAGGTTGCTGCTGGTGTTGAGTAGAAGCAAAGGGAGACAAACAGGTTGTTCTAAAACTTCATCTGGGGTGCTGACAGCAGCTGGATCCTGTGCAGAAATGTCCCAAGGCTGTTTTACATGCCTTCAATGAAAAAAATAATTGTGCATGCTATTTGACTTCTGTATATTTCTTTATCAGACTAAAAGTAGGTGTGTTTCTCTGGATATTCCATTGTGAAGAAAAAATCTGGACCTTGGGGATGAATTTGCTGTGTGGATAGAGCTCTGTTGGATTATATCTGAACCAAGCTTTTACAGTCCTTTTCCAGTGTGAAGGCAATGTAGAAGGGAGGAAGCCAAAGCTGCCTAAAAGACTGAAAAATTCTCTTTCTGCCATTGGGCCTCTGTTTGTCTTTTCCCCCCCCCTTGTTCCCTTATGCATTACACACTCTGCTGCTGGTGCTGTTGCTTCTTGTCTGCTAAAGACAAGTGCAGGAAAGCTATATAGGGTTCTTTAGCACTTGGTGTGTTTGTAACAGCAATTTCTTTCCTCCCTTGCCTGCTCTATTTACACTATGCTAAAAGTAAGCTCAATGCCTTGCAGAACGAATAGTTTGAGACCTCTCTTCTGTGTCAAGGGAGGCTGAGCTGAAGACAGAGAAGGTGTATCTGAGTGTGGAGACAATTTCATGCAGGTATGTAGCTTTTAGTGCTAATTGTGCAGTTTGTTTGTTTGTTTGTTTTCCAATTTATAAAGCAAAATAGTTTGCTTTATAAAAAAAAATCAAGTTAGGTATTTGGACAAAGCCAGGTTGAATAATGATGATGAATGTTTTCAGAAAGAGTGCTCCAGGCTTGAATGGGGAGTAGAAAACAGCACAGAGGTTTCAGTGTGCTGAATTCACCAAAATGTTTAAACATATTGTCAAAATATTGTGCTACTGTAAATATGTACTAGTAAACTACTAAAACTGGCAGTTTTGTTTAAGATAGAAGCATAAGCTATATTTTAAAATTTATTTTAATGAATAAATTTTTTATTTTAATGTAACATTAAAATACCCTTTCATGTGGGAAGGTTGGCATTTTAAGAATATTTAAAGCTGTTAATGGCCAGCCGCTTTGCTAAACTGCTGACTTCACACATACCATTTCCTTTTTCAGGTTTTTACAACCCCACATCTTCTGACTTTTAAAGCAGGATGGGGAGGGAGGGTAGGAGGAGAATAGCTTTTTCATTTTTTGTTGGTAGCCGTAGAGCACGTCTAAACTGCAATTTTAAAAATTACTGTCAATTTAGTAAATGTTAAATCTGCATGACATTGTTTCTGTTGTGCATTAATACAAGTTATGCTGTTTAATTTGGAGACCTTACTTCTCTGTTCTCATGTATAAGTATTATTTATTGTTTCAGGATTTTTTGGGACAAATCTTCAGTCTAAACCCTGTTAGTATTTCTTTTTAAAATACACAATACCTTACTCTACTGAATAACACACTTAATAGGGTTTGAGAGTTTAGAGAGGGTTTTGCATTCTTGAAATGTATGACTTACTGTAATTACAATTGCTCATATTCTAAAGCAGGTCGTAAACTTACCTGGAGAGAGAGCAGAACATTTACAGGCAATATTTTACTGCTGACAGCTTAAAAGTTTGTTTATGCTAATCACTTCATATATAGTGAGCAGTACACCACTGGTGACTTACCAAGCAGTTTTGCAAGTGCAGAAAATTTCTGCTTGATGTTAAAGAAAATGACATTACAAAAATATATTTGTAAAGCACTAAGTACCCGCTTGCTTTCTTTAACAACTTAAGAAATACTCAAGCTTAGTTGTTGTAATGATTTATATGGCTAGTTAATATTTGCTGGTTTGAAAGCCTGTGAATTTGATTAAATTCTATCTGTCTAGCTTTGCTTTTAGTGACTAGAGGAGGTGTTCATATATATCAGTTTATTAAAAGTTGAGCTGTATGAAAATGTAGAAGTTTAATTTCCTTTCCTTGAAAGTATTTAACTTTTTTGGTTTTTGTTTTTTTAATACAGAAAATTGAAACTAAAAGGGTTTCCAACTCCGATCAAATTTCTTGTCAGAACACCAACTGATTATGTATTTGTGTGCATAAATGAAAGAAGACTTAATTTTTAATGTTTTGCTTCAAACTCATGTATGTGTAATGGTAAATAATACTGAGTTTATAAATACAAAGCTTTTGCTACATTTTCCAAAGTTCTGATACATTAGTGTAATTTTTTTCTTCTTTAGCCTTTCCGATCTTACTTTTCCACAGTATGCACTGAGAGGCAAACTGGCTATCTCTATAACAGAAATAAGGAGGTATGCTGTTGTGTCTTCAAGTATACTGGATGAGTCTATATGCTGGGTAGTTCGCTGGAAATTATTTTTAAGTATTGCAAATTTTATTTAATAAAGTAATGTATATTATGTAAAAACTCCTTTAAAGTTTTACGCTTCTTGTTTGTCTCTTTTCAGCCCCTCAAAGGCTTTTAAAAATGGTATGAAGTAGGATTTTATTTAAGAGACGACAGATGAGTAGACAACAGATGATTAGGTTTAAGGAAAAGGTGTTCCAGATTAATGAAGGATGGCTTTGAAGTATGCAGTTAAGTCACACTGGTTTGGACAGCAACTGGTGCTTGTAGAAATCCACAGGCTCCCCATGTGTGGAGTCTGGAGTGGGAGCTGTGGCTGCTGGTCTGTGTGTCCGTGGAGGAGGCTGCACAGGTCCTTTCCTTGGAGTGCTCTGCAGCACTGGCAGTGGCAAACAGCAGGGAGGAGGCCAGCAATGGGAGCGTGGCAGGGGCAAACAGCAATGGGAGCGTGGCAGTGGCAAACAGCACTGGGAGCGTGGCAGTGGCAAACAGCAATGGGAGCGTGGCAGTGGCAAACAGCAATGGGAGCGTGGCAGTGGCAAACAGCACTGGGAGCGTGGCAGTGGCAAACAGCAATGGGAGCGTGGCAGTGGCAAACAGCAATGGGAGCGTGGCAGTGGCAAACAGCAATGGGAGCGTGGCAGTGGCAAACAGCAATGGGAGAATGGCAGTGGCAAACGGCAATGGGAGCGTGGCAGTGGCAAACAGCAATGGGAGCGTGGCAGTGGCAAACAGCAATGGGAGCGTGGCAGTGGCAAACAGCAATGGGAGCATGGCAGTGGCAAACAGCAATGGGAGCGTGGCCAGCAGCTGTAGCTGATGTCTCGTGTGTTTATAAATGTGATAGCGCACGAATGCTGATGGGGAAAGCAAACTTGTACAAACGAAAGCATTGGTAGGGGAAAGTATTTCTTAGCTTATACTGTACCTATTTTCTTTCTATAACTGGTTTTGCTGTTCAAACTATGTGTACTTCTTTTTCACCTTTGCATATGGAATTCTAATCTTGAAGCATTTGTAGCAGAAAAAAAGGGGCAAATACAACTCCTTGTTCACATTAAGCCTGAAGAACATCTGCCTTTACTTCAAGCTAAAACTGAAAACTTCATTGTTGCTTCCAAACGGCTGTTTTGTTAGATGCCTCCTCCATGAAGTGTATGTGTGTAAAAGAATAGTCTCAGTCCTTATCCAGCAGAGATTGCCCATTGATGACTGTCCCACCCATGAAGATGCCAATGGTGAGGTCTAACTTACTGCATTTGCACCATTGGTAAGGTCAAAAAAGGTAATGGGTTTTAAAATTGCTGGCTCTTGTCCTGCCTTAGATGCAGAGTCATGGAGAGAAAAACGTGAATCTTTTTTGTGTGGACTGAACCCACAATCTCCTCTTTGCTTAGGCTTATTTAAATATTACGTTTATCTCAGTAGTTCTGTTGTGTGTTTTTATCAGCAGGCATGCTGTCAAGATAAACTTGCACTGGGAAGCCCTAGATATGCATAAATTTTTTTTTTCAGGACATTTGGCTTACTTGAGTACCTGGCTAACAGTGAGAAGGATAATGGAGATGCGTGGCTGGCAAAAGAACGAGTAATTTTGACATTTTCTGTTGAATGCTATATTCTTGGAAATGCAGCAATGCATGCCCTTAGAGTAATTCTTTCAAAAGAGAAGGAGCAAAGTTAGGGAGGAAGAATGTTTTCCACCCTGTTTTTTGACATGTAGTATAATATACTAGCAATGCAGAGAAGGTGAAGACTTAGGCTTGTCTACTAATATAATGCTTTCTGACAAAGGGCTTGCACAGTGGGAGGTGGCTAGTAGAAGTGATTTGGGGTTTGACAAACCTACAGTAAAGAATTAAAGGCAGATAAATGCTTTCCATCAGATTTTTTAAAAAGGAATTCATGGAAGGGATGGAAATCAGAGAAAGACTAAAACTCAGTTTACAGAATGAATTGAGATGTAAGTGATGTAAATAATACACTTCATGAGTGTGGATATCCTTTGAGTGCTCTTTGGATTGAAGACATTTTGATGATTAATCCAATATTATCCTAGGTTTGTGGATTTTTTTCTCCCTTACTTTTTCCTTAATTTGCAGCAAATGGTTTCTCACTGGATTCTGTACTGACAATCCCTTAAATGCTTTGGTCATTTTCTGTTTGTGACTGACAACCTCTGTGCTTATCTCAATCTTTGTAACTTCGGTTTTCATTCTGCTGTTTTGTGCACTCTAATGCCATTGCACTTCATTCAGCCTTGCCATTGCATTTCTTTCTTTGCTCATATATTCCTGACCTTGTTTTGTTTAATTTTCCCCTTAATTTCTGAAGCTGCTTGATTAATTTCTTAGCTCCATATTTCTTATTCAGCTTGCTTGCCAAGTCACACATACAAGAATGCTTTGAGATCTGTCCTTGCTATGTAATTTTACCAGAATGTGCCTGGAGGTGTTTTCCCTGTGTTTGTTGGTGGTTTTCTTCTTTTCTGTGTTGGGTGTGCTGTGGGTTGAGCCAGGCTGGGGATGATGAGTGCAACATAAAGGACTCTGTCTTGGTTAGCACAGGACACAACTGCCTTGCTTAGGATTTTCCACTTAAGTTTGTGAGGTGATGGAAAGTAGTTCTTAGGTCTGCCCCTGCAGAAGTTGCACTTTGTTTCAGGTTGACCCTGCCCTGTGTTTGAGATAACTGGTTTTAATTTTGCTGTGGGTCAGCAACATGTAGTGGTTGTTAGATAGGGGCTCAGAAATACTGTTCTTGAATGTTTTCTGTGACAAACAGTACAATCTATGAGCTAATTTAATAGCAGCTTTAAATTGAATACTTAGGTGTAACTGAGTTCTAAGTAGCACCTCTTTGAAACAGTAATATATTGTGTTCCTGCAGTTGGATTTGCCTCATTTCAAACAGCTTTCTCAGAACTTTCAGTTGTCTTATATTTTTAACAGGCTGGTGGACATGCTGTAAAACAGCCTATCTGGTACAACACAAGCTAATGAAAAGCTGGAATCCTTTTTATGTTCTCACAGACGCTCCGGTTGTGCTAAACTTGATGACTATCACTGCAGGGTTGGAATCTTTATTACTGCACCAAGTGCAATCTGGTACTTGGAACAAAAAGATAAAAACCATTCGCTGTTCTAAAGTAATCTGTAAAAACAGTTACTTTGACTCTGCATCACCTTCCATGATTTATTACTTGCAGTGGAAAAGCTTTGAATTTTTGGGGGAGTCTGTGAAAATATAAAGTATTTCAAATTTATTTGATAGCTTAAAAGGATTTCTATTCTTAATCTTGATGATCACTTATACTGTGAATGCTATTGTGTAGCAAAATCTGCTTATTTTATGGTAGTATTCAGTTTTATTTATTACTCCTTTCAAGTCTGAATCTTGAGTTTTTGTAATAACTGTCCAGCATGTTCACAGACAACACACACATGAAATAAATTTATCAGTCACTGGCATTTAAAAAAAACTTTTAATTAGCTTTAGCCATGGTCTTGCACTGTATAAAGTTTTCATCATCCAGTCAATCATCATAGGGCTTTGAAGTTTCTTGAAGTTTTAGTAAAGGATCATAGTTTCAGGAAAATACTCAGTTGTATGATACTTCTCTTTTTATATATGATATATATGTGTATTTTTTTTTTTTTGCATGTGAGTAGAAGAGTCAAGAAATTACAAGTAGATAACTTGCTTTTCAACTGTTACTTCTTTTATGTCACAGTGGAAAGACATAGCTTCTAAAAATGTTACCTTTGATAAAATGAATTGTGAAATGAGATGAAAGGGTATGCACATATTTAAATTTAAAAGACTCCTCAAGTTCTTGGTGATGTCAGCTTTAAATCTAATGGAAGTTGCTTGAAATTAAATTATCCAAGAACATAATTCAGAAATTTGAATGTATGTACCCCTTATTACTTGAAAAGTTAATGGAGAAGGATAATAAACTTGCTGGCTTTGTTGCTTCAAGGCTAGATGCTTGAAATGAGTTTGACTGGAACACAGTCAAAGTTCAAAATACTAGATGCTGGAGTAGAAAATCACAGTAAAAGACACAAAAAAGAAAGTTTGTCTTGGCTGTTTTACACTAGTTTCACCAATCTGTCCTTTCCGATTTCTAAACCCTACAAGAATGTGGCTCATTGCTTTTATCTGCAGTTAGCATTTCCCTAACACTTCTCTGTGCACTGTTACAAGTCTGTTACAAATCATAGGGCAGGGGTATCAATGAGCACATGGGCCTTGTACAGACTTTTTACATTAGTGTTTTGTTCCCTCTTCAACTGTAGTTGTGCAAGATAATGTGTTTTACCCAAAGGTATTGAAGTTGATGATTGTTTAACTCTCTGCAAGTGAGGCAGGGTGAGTAGGTTATGTATAAAGAGTCTTCCATTTTTCAGTAATGTATTCTGGGGAGAAAAATTAATAAATCACATTTTATATTATTCTGTGTTTTAGAAATCCACAGAAAATGCAAATCATTAGAGAACGAACTGTCTAAAAGAAGGAAATGAAAGTTTTCATTTGGTATTTTTGCTACTTTTATTTAACTGTTGTTTTCACACTACTCTCCTACAGATCGTTTGTTAAACACTTGTAATTTAAAACCAGCAAGATAATTATATACCAATACCAAAAAAATCATCCTTTCCAAAAAAAAGAAAACCCAAATGCCAACAACCTCCCCCCCTAACTTGTTGTATTACTGCTCCACAGGAAACTGTTGTGCTGAAAGGAAGAATTAACTGGTCTTTCAACTTCAGCCTTTTTATTGTGAGAGGGGAGATCACAGAAGTGTTACCATGGGGAGAACATCAGCGAAAGGTAAGGCCTGGTAGCTTTAATCCAAGAGGAAAGAAAGTGGGGAACCTACTAAATTCTCTTTTTGAAGCTGGTGGGATACAGCATGACAATTTGCCATACTGTTAAATTAAGGAAGACAGTTTGTGATCTCTGCTGAATACAGGTAAGTTCAAACTTCACATTGTTTTAGAATATATATGCTGAATTTGGCTGTCTTGAGTTCTACAAATTTAATGAAAAGAATTCTGTCCTGTGGCAGCCTTGAAATCATTACTGCACTCTGAAATTGAGGAATGTGTCTAGATGTGCTATTAAATAAAACTTGGGGCTTTATTCTGGAGTTGCCTATAATTTAGCAGAATGATAACTAAGTAGTACAAAGAATCAAATTTTATCACAATGGATGGCATTAGCAAATGTCTTTTGAAGATAAAACACACATTTTAAAAGAAATTCATCTACAAGTACACGGTGTACTGCAAAGGTGTGATTTCTGCTGTGTCATGTCTACAGATATTAATTGTGAGTTCAGAGCTAAAATAAAGAGTGAGACTTAAGAAGAACAAGAGTGCTTGGGCTGGTGAAACAAAAAAAAAATATGAAGAGCAAAAGATCCACTCTCTGAAACCATGTTGCTGCTGTTTTGGAAGCTTCCAGATTGGTAGTCCTCCTCCATAAAAGACTACTAGCACTTTTGTACTTTCCTTGAGCTTACCACCTTCAACCCAAGCTGCTTTATGTGCTTGTGTGTTCCCTTGGTAAATAATTGTCTTTTGCTAGAATAGATTTTCTGTAATGGCAGGAGTCATCCGTTTAATTGTTGCACCAGGAGTTTATGGAGGAAGTCTGACCCCTTCTCTTGTAGGTTTTCTGCATGGCTGTTGTCTAAATATAGTCAAAGAGACTGGCTGTTCCAAGCAGATAAGATAAGAATCCCTCTAGGGTAGCACAAAAAGAAAGGAAAGGAGAAATTTCATATTCACTCTGTCTGGATATTCTCAGCTGTGTGCACTGAGGCTTGGTGAAAGGTGCTCACAGCCCTGTGTCATAGGGAGTGAGCAGAAGGCCCCTTCCCGAGCAATGGTAAGTCTTGGACTTGTTTTGGTAAATTTCATTTGAGGGCAAGTAATTGTGGGGCATGGGAAGAGCAAAAGGTTTTGTCACCCAAAGGTATTTCATATACATCAGGAAAAGACAAGGGTTTTGTTTGAGAAGAGTGGGATCCTGCCATGTTTTGAAGACCCAGAAGAGTTGAAGACATGAAGGTGGGCTGAGGGATAGCTGCAGAAGTCTTGAAAGCATGACTATGAACTTAATTTTCCCCACACTGCACAATGAGTAGATGGCACATATGTGCCTTCCCTACATGTAACACACTATTCTGGGATGGAAACTATTGCTATTAAAAGACATGATGTTTGCCATCACTTGGACAAAACAGTCATCTAGTTTGCAGAAAGGTTAAGTCTTCTAGAAAGAAGTTGCAAAGTTTTAAAGCTTCTCAGGCAAGAAACTGCAGTTCAGTATGGGAGCTTATAAGAGGAAATACCGATGGGTCACCAGGATTATCTTTGCCCAGAGCTTTACCACTGCTTTCTCTGATTTTTTTTTTTTTTTTAATTTGGTATTCACAAGTCAGTTAGGATAGCTTCTCCTTTTTTTCCTCCCTTGTCTCTAATTTCTTAAATGATAGATGTGGTTGCTCTTGCCTGTCTTCTGTTGAGAAATCTTATCAGCAAAACTTTGTGGTTACAGATAGGGTGGGAGTAATGTAAACACACAGAGTTTTGAATCAGTAAGCAGAAAGCACTATGGTAAATAATCTTACTCTAATCTTGTCTTGTATCTAAAGCTTTAGCTTATGAAGCACACTCTAGAAAAGAAATAGTTGGTGAACAATAGAATATGTTGCTTTTAGAATTTTAGTATATGCTATGCTCTAATCTTGCTGCCATAAAAGAAAGAAATCTTTCATAGGGTATTTAGCCTCTATGTGGTATAGGCTAAATATTTATAGATACATAGCAAATATATAAATGCTGTTACCTATATGTATTACTTTATTTTCAAAACTTTTTTGAAATAGGTATCCTGTTCTTCATTACTTTCTTAGAGAGCTGAGTAGCATTTGATTAAGTCCATTTCATTAAAAATTTCAATTCTAGCTCTTGTTTTGGCAAATGATCTAACACATGCTGTGTTTTACATTGAGAAATAAGCTGAAACTTTTCCCTTTAAAAATGGACAGGGGAAGATAGATGACGAATTAAGCTGATCTTTTTTTTTTTTTTTTGTTACCATGAGCTTCAAGACTGTAGGACTAATAAGTCTCTTCTGTCTCCAGTATATAAATAGAGTTCTTATTTTCAAATCAATTTTTCAGGTTTCAAGGAATTAGCCATTGAATGTGCCTAGGAGCTGAATGTGCAATGGGATGAAAAGAAAATACTCTTTGTACCTGTACAGTTATTTACAGGTACATATTATGTCTTTCATTACCTTATTTTTTGAGGTTTGACCTCAAAGCTTGACCAAGCTGAGGATCATGTGCAGAGACAGTAATCTTGTTCAGCCCAGTGATTTGAATAGTAGCCTTCTGTCTAATTTTTTATGTGATCTTTGGAAGCTAAATTTGTTAAAAATATAGAATATCAAAATTTAAAATATAGATTGGCATGCATTAAACAACTCCATATGTTTATAAAAATTAATATTTATGAAATTGGCTTTAAATAAAATCTTACTTTCTTTATATATTTTTTAAAAATAAACCATATTTTTTTATCCAGTTTAACTGCCAACATTGGAAAAAGCACACCTGAACAAGGCTGGGAAGTATAGACTGTGAATAATCACTGTGAAATAGAGACTGGGGAAAGTTTTCTGGGGTGGCAATAGATAGATACAGGGTATCTGATGTGGACACAGGTTGGTAATTCTTCCTGCTAGTAGCTTTGCATCTCTTGATACAAAACATTCCAGCTTTGTAATGGTATTCCCAGCTTCCCACTGATGAAGGTTGGAATGCATCAAAGCAAGGGATTCCTTTGAAAGCAGTCTTGGTTTTATTCAGACGTATTCTTGGATGCTTCTGCACCATCAAAAACAAGTGATAGTGACAGTGCTTTGTGTTTATGGTGTATGAAAATGCCTCCACCTCAAATGAAATAGTTGTTTAAAATGCTGTTGAGAAATCCACTTCTCATTAATCATCTCTTCTTTTCTTGTAGTTTTCTAATAGCTGATAAGAAAAATACGTTGCCAAAGGTGTTTTGTTTCAACTTTCATAATTGCTGTGATATTTTTGAAAGAGGCACTAAAGCTAGCTGGTAAAGGGAATAAATAATTTGTGTAGCAATTGTCAGCAAGAACACATGTGGTGTCCAGGCTGCAGCTTTTCACATTCTTTCACCTGTTCCTGATGTCTCTCATCATGAAAAGCTGTCATCTTGTTTTTAATCTGGCACTGTTCGGTGGATACTCTTTCATGACTCTGTCCTTTCAAGCTTTGGGTGTTTGCAGGAAGCAGTTACTATATTAGTTCTCTTCTTTCAATGGAGTTCCACATAAGAGATTATTGATTTCCTTTTTGGACATAGTCATATTGGGAAGTTATTTGTTCTGCAAGCTGACAGCCTGATGTCTGCCTTAGTACCATGACTGTTTGTGGGAAATACTGACTAAGGTTATAGAACATGGCAAAAGGTCCTGCTGTTGATTGCTAGCTCCGAGTAGAAAATTAGCTGGATTCAGCTCAGTCCCAAAGAGGTTGGATGAAATATATTTTGACCTGTAGGATGGAGAAGGTGAACATTAGCTTTGTATCTTTTGGTGTTAGATTTAGCATTATCCCTTCTGAGATTCCTACAGGTAGTTGTCGGGTATCCACTTGTAGGGGTTAAAACCCAACTGCTGAGGAGGTACTGAGGTTAGAGCTCTGTAGGTGCTGTCCCAAATAATTTCAGCAGTTCCATCTGAAGTTGACCTTCATAAGCGTTTTTTTTTCAGGAACCTATATAATAGAACATTTTCCAAAGCAAACTTCTTCCAAAAGAAAGAGCATGTAAATCAAGAAAGAAGATTAAGTTAAGGAGTAAACATAGCATTTTGTTTCCTTTTCGAGGGACTTGGAGTTCTGCCTGTGTCTGCTTTAGGAGAAAGGGGTGGTATTTTTGCAGTGTATTTTGAGCAGTTATGTAAGCTGTGCATTGATTTTGTAGGACTGTGAAGTCTGGATTATTCTTGGAAGGTCTCATGGTCCTGAGTACACTAACAGGCTTTAATGACCCTGACTCACGCGGGGCCTCCACCTGCCCTGCCCAGGACCCCATTGTCAGCCCCTGCCCCAATGATGCTGCAGCAGGGCCAGTCCCCAGATCACCACAGCCCTGGCCCCATGTCCCATCCCAGCCCCAGTCTGTCTTCTGGGATGGCCACCACTGCTGGGGCTGCCCCCAGTGCCACACCCCTGGTAGCTCCTGGACAGAGTGATGGCGTGGCTCTGGATGGTGAAGCCCTGCCTGGCCACACCCAGGGTGCCCTGGCCATTGCTGTGCTCTGACCAAAGGAGCATCACATCCTACCAAGCACAGAGCCATGTGGATGGCCTTATCTTCTCCTCACTGAGTGGTAGGGGAGGATTTGGGGACTGGTGACAGAGGACTGTCATGACTCAGCTCTTGCATTATGTGGCAATTTCCTGCTCATTAAAGATGTGAGATGGAAGTGCTGAACACCACACATTGCTTGTCAGTATGTTTCAAGAAATGCTTTACTTAAAGAAAAGAAACACTGTTAGGGCTTAGTCTTTGCTGCATAAATATAATGAGAACAACTCATGATATTTCAAGAGTTTCTGTCGCCAAAATCTTCACATTCTAGGTCAGGAGTGCTTTTATTTCAAGAGCAAGCCAATCAGTTGCTGTAGACTTAAAAGCGAGTGAATACAGCTCCTAATAATTGGCTACTAATGCAATCTTGCAGTAAAAGTGAGCCTTCCCTTCACCTGTACCAGTTCAGGCTAAGTGGGATAACCCAAGGTGTGAGCTAGGCACAAGCCTAACTAGAGGAACAGCCCCATTCCCAGTAGCAAGGCATTTGCAGACCATGGGAGTTATTCTCCTATGCAGATCTTGGTAAAAACAAAAAAGCTTTTTAGATCTGAAAGTGTACTTGCATTTTTGTTGTGAGGTTGATATCATATTTGAATTGCACTCAAGTCCATGAGTGTTAAAAGCAGGTCACCAAGCAATGTCTTTTAAAAGGAACGAGTGGAGCTGTCTCTCTAAGTCTTCTCCATTACAGCTGCCCAGTTCTGCATCTCTCATACATGCTGAAATCCATCAAAAATTAAATATGGCAGACCCCTTTCTGAGTATGTGCCAAGATTAATGATAGAGAATGTAGATTCTTCTAAGTGATTCTTTTTATTGACTGATATGTGCTGAGATAGCTGCTTTGAGTATTTGAGAATTTTATATTTAGAATATTGAGTATTAAGGAATCTCAATATAGAGTGAAATATTTAACTCAGATATATGGCTTTAGGATGGGTTTGTTTTTTTCCTTGTTTCTCATTGACAGTGATCTGTGTATAACCAGATGTTTAAAGATATCCAGTGATCTTTAGGATCTCAAATTTTGTGTAGGTGGAAGTAAAACTGTTTAAAAATAGGACTGGATTGCTGTCTGTGGAACTGATATTCTGTATTCTGCAACCAGATTTACTCTAATAATTGATATAAAGTAGTCAAAAGCTCTGATTTTTCATGCTGTACTTTTCAATATATTTTGAAGGGAAAATACTGTTGTGATTAAATTTACATACCTTTTTGATTATGTACTGAAGTGAATCAAAGTCAACAAAATATTCTGTATTGTCTGAAAGCATTCTGTGTTATGCTGGACATAGTTATGATGTGAATATTATATTTATTATGTAATGGAATCTTGTCTTTTAGATTCAAAGAATATTAAAAAAGAGAAAGATGGAAAGAATCAGCAGGCAAACAACCCATCTTTAAAAAGTGGTAGGTATTGCAGCTGTCAGGTTCTTAGTTAAGGTATTCTAGAAGAAAATGTGTGTGTTTGGATTGTACTATTTTCTGACTTATTTTTCTTGTTGGAATTGCTTGGGTTATTATGGTGGATAGTTAAAAACATACCTTTGCTTTTGGCTAGCTGTTAGGAGAGTACGTTTTGGTATACAAAGTGATGATTGAAACTGCTTGAGTTGAACCTGCTAGTTTTACTAGCCAAGATAAGTACTCTTTGTGCGTACAATCAAAGATACTGTGTAAACTTTATTATTTTTAAACTGTTACTGATTTGTCTGTTCTTCTCATCATGTATTTCTCAGTCTCATGCCTTTTCTGCTGCAGTTACCTCTATTTCCTTAATGTGTTTCCTGGTGCCAAAAGAAGGATTTTCAGCTTAATAGTCTTGAATTTTTAGGATTGCTAACTGGATTAAATTGCCTGGGATTCTAATTTTACTTTAAATAGTCGATGTGCAAGCAGAATTTGTGGGTTTTTTTTAAACCGAGGAAAAACTAGAAATTATCCAGATTCTTGGCTAACTTGGCCTCTACTAAGCACAGCAGGTGCCATAAGGCAGTGTATACATGAGATTGCTGTCAGGGTAGCTTCTATGGTGCTGCAGTGAGACAGCAGCAACATCCTTAGATATCCTTTGCATGTTCACATTGTTTGTCTGAATTTGGGACAGTAAGAAATGTCATGGGTAGTATTGACTAGAGTACAAAATCTCTTCAGGAGTTCTTGAAAAAAATGAATCATTTAAACTCACTCTGCTCACTTTTCTGTGCCCTCTGACTCCTGATAGGTGGTCTGGTTCCTCTTGGGTACCATTGGAGACAAGTAGCATAGTCACTGATGAAACATGACAGGATACTGACACATTAGCTGGGTAACTGAGGTAATGACTTTGCATAAAGAATACCAGTCATAGTACAGCCTTCAGCTGTTACATTTTCCAGAGCTAATTTTTTTCATTTATTTGGGTTCTGGCCGTCACAGAATGGGTAAGGTTGGAAGCAACCACTGGAGGTCATTGTAGTCCAACCTGCTGCTCAAGCAGGACTCCCTAGAGCACGTTTCTCAGGACTGTGTCCAGAAAACTTACGAGTATCTCCAGAGGAGGAGAATCCACAACCTGTGCAGTCATCTTTATTTGTCCCTGTTACCTTGAGCCAGAGAAAGAAGCATATTTGTCTCTTTTTCCCTCTTCTGCAGTGTAAAAGGACGTCCAGTCAAACTAGACTCAGCGTGTCTGTTTTAAATAATGTTGTTTGACGTGACAGAGTGCTGTAAGACATTCCCCCACCAGCAAAGTGCTCTTCATATGTGATTAAGATAACCATATTTCATGAGTCACTGGAAAATGTCCCTGCCTCCTCCTGCAGTTGAGAGCAAGGTGTTGAAAAAGCTTTGTGGAGAAGCAGTGCTAAGCAGGCAAGCCTTATTCTGTGTTCATGTTCTTGACTTGATCTGCGCTGTTAACCTAGTGTCTGGAAACTGAACTTCCTCATGAAATCTAGGCTCAGCTTTGTCAAACAGAGAGGAGTTTCTTGCAAGATCTCTGCTTTTCTACAGATGAAATAATTTTTATTCCGTGTTGTTGCTTGTTGGTGGCAAAGGAGCAGGAAGAGCCTCTTGATGCTAGATGAAGATGCCGTACAATGCTTTGGGCTAACAACTGAGAAGTCTCCAGAGTTTCCAGGGGAATGTATGATAAGAAAAGTCAAGGAGGAGATACAGAGGTGTGAGAAAAATAGGTTAAAAAAATAGACTAAAGTGAGTAGAGAAAGACACGAGGAGGAGAAAAATTCTAATTGAAGGATCACAACATTTAGAAAGAAGTACAAGGTGTAAAGCGGAGCATGAAATACGTTACACTTAAACGGCTGTATTTGCGAGAGTGTGTGAAGAAAAATTATAAGGAAATCTCATCTTTGAAGAAGAAAGATTGTGGGATGAAGACTAGAAAAGAGGCATCTCCGTGTCCAAAGTTTCAGATGGGTGCCAAGGGAATCTAGGGGCGGTCTGAGAAGACACAATGTGTTCTGTCTGCCCAAACAGCATTTAGGCTATGGTGATACTGTATTATATTAACCTGAATAAACCAGGACCTTAAATTGTACCAGTCTGCAAGTGACAATTCATGGTTTAAATCTTCAGTTAAGATTTTGTAAAACTTTTGACTTATGCTAAATTGGAGAATTACATATGGTGAAAAAAGATGGGGAGCACTTCAGCAAACTGTGCATTCACTTATTCATGGCAGCAGATTTGACGTCTCCAGGGGTGCTGATGTCACACAGAGGCTTCTTGCTTCTTTTGGAGAACTTGTAGTGGTTGAGGAAGTTTCTCCATGGCTGAAAAAGGTCAAATAGTATGCACTGTCAAGAAGGACAAGACAGGAGGAGCACCCAGGGAATTACAGGCTGGCCTACCCAATCTTAAGTCTTCAGGAAGACTATAAAGAAAATATTTCTGGAAACCATTTCTAAGCAAATAAAGGACAACAATGAGGTTAGGAACAGTGGAGGTAGATTTGCCAAGTGTGAACTGTGCATGACTGATTACCTTTTGTGCTCAGTTACTCTGGAAACAAGGGAGAGCAATGGATGTTGTTCATGTCAACTTTAGCAAAGCTTTCCTGTACATTTTCTGTAGCATCGTTTCAGGCAGACTGGTGAGATGTGGTTTGGATAGGTGGATGAGAAATTAACTGGACTGTCAGGCTGTGCAAGGTCCACCTGTCAGATGGTAGCTAGTGGCATTTCTTAGAGGTCAGTATTAGGGCTGATGCTGTTTTATGCCTTACTGTCAGATGGGGACGACTGGCCAGAACACACTGCCAGACCAGTTTGTGGGTAACATCTAGTGGGGAGGAGTAGCCAGTAGGCTGGGAGGCAGGACTGCCCTTCAGATGGACTTGCCAGTGCTGGGGAAATGGAATGGCAGGACCGTGCTGAGACTCGGTGGTGAACGGAGAGTCCTCGGCCGCGGGCATCCCGGCGCCCTGCGAGCATCCCGGCGCCCCGCGAGCATCCCGGCGCCCCGCGAGCATCCCGGCGCCCCGCGAGCATCCCGGCGCCCCGCGAGCATCCCGGCGCCCCGCGAGCATCCCGGCGCCCCGCGAGCATCCCGGCGCCCCGCGAGCATCCCGGAGCGCTGCGAGCATCCCGGCGCCCTGCGAGCATCCCGGCGCCCTGCGAGCATCCCGGCGCCCTGCGAGCATCCCGGCGCCCCGCGAGCATCCCGGTGCCCTGCGAGCATCCCGGAGCCCTGCGAGCAGCCCGGCGCCCTGCGAGCAGCCCGGCGCCCTGCGAGCATCCCGGCGCCCTGCGAGCATCCCGGGCAGGAATTTAGCACCAGAGCCCTGGAGCCCGGCAGGCACGGCTGAGCGTGGGCCAGCAGCGAGCTCTTGTGGCGAAAGAGCTCAACTGCAAAGGGATCCTGCGGGCAGCGGGCCGGGAGGAGGCGTTCGCTGCTTTCGGGGATTTGTATCTGGAGAGCTGTCTTCAGTTTTGAGCTGCACAGTACGGGCAAGGCACTGCTCTACTGGAGTAGGCTGGCTTGAAGTCCTGCAAAAAATTGAAGGAGCCGGAACGCAAAAACCGAGTACTGAAACCAGAAGAAATGTTTTTTTTCAGCTAAAAGAAAAGCTTATGGGAGATGGTCATGCTGTGTTCAACTACCTGTCAGGTGGATGGAAAGGAGACAGAGCTAGGCTCCTCTCAGAGCCACTGTGGAAGGAGAAGTGACAAATACTGGCTGGAGCATAAGAAATTCTTCCTTGATGAGGAAATCTTCACATTGAGTCTGATAGAACCCTGGAGGAGCAGGAGGCTGAACTAGAGACCTTCTGAGGTCCCTTCTAGCTTGAGTTATTTTGGGATTGGCAGGTTTGACAAGAAGTGATAGGGCATTGATACAGCATTGCAGAGAGCATCAAGGGTCACTGACCAATGGGTCAGTGCTAGTAGTGCAAGCAACTGTGACATGAACTCAGTCCCTCCATTTTTAAATTAGTCAGGCTTTTTGCCATTGCTGCTTGTTTGAATCACTGTTTAAGAGCCTCACTTCCATGCAGGTTTTAAACTAATATTTTTTTCATTTACAAAAGTTTCTAGTTACCTTCTGGTTTGTATTTTGTTCCATTTCCAGTATATGCTGGTTTGTTCTTCAGCATAAAATTTTAAGAGAGATTCACATTAAATTATTTAGTATGAGCTAATTTTCTTGAGGATTTCTAGTTGTCAGAAGCTGCATGTTTTCAGGGTCTTTAGAATTAGAAATAAGTATATTACAATTGCTTCTTTACATGTGTGCACTGAGAATGCAGAGAAGCTTTCGTGTAGATATTTTTTCAATGTGCTTTTCTTTCTAGAGTTGCATCTTACATCTTGCAAACATACATGAGTCTTCTATTTCTATAAGTGCAGTAATTAAATGATAATTAGCACCATCTCTGAGAGCTTGACTCTAATACAGTGTATCTTTAGAGGTGGAGAGCTTCTAGTTTTAACTCCAGGACATTACTGCTTGATGCAAGAGCTTTTGATAGCCAGGATTTAAAGCAAAGAGCTAGGCAGTGTTCTTTTCCTCTTATCTGTGGCTGGCTCCTTACCTTCTGTGTCTTTCTAGTAAATGTTCTGTTACCTTCTGTGTCTTTCTAGTAAATGTCCCCTTGAAAAAACAAAACTGTTTCATTCCCTCTGTATTTTTGGTCACCCCACAAAATTTACCATCCTGTTACTAAAATTCAGATAATTTGGGAAATGTTACTATATATTTTTTTGGAGGTGGTGAATTACGGTTTGTCCTGGTAAATGTGACATCACTGAAGTATTTGTATTTGTACAGTCCTTAACACAATGAGGCTATGCATGACTGCAGCTTTTACATCATGTTAGATCTGAGACAGCTGGTGACACAAGTAATCTAATCTAATCTTTTGACTAGATTTAATTATGTACAATTAGGTACTTTACTAAGGTAAACTCTGATTAAAAAACTTTTTTATTTAAATCAAAAGACAACCTGAAGTGGCAGCTTTATTATTAGAGTCCAAGATGAATTTTTATGAGAGAAAACCTTGCTATCAGTTCATTATATTAAATTTTTGCCCTCCTTGGCTTGTTAATGAAAAGAGAAACAAATTTGGAGGCTACTTTCTGGGGAAAGCTCTGAAGAGCTATTTTGGCCTTCCTGAAATACAAATATATGCTTAAGTTAATGTATCCTGCCTTTTGTAAGTAATAAAAAATCAGTGTTACTATATAAATGTGTAAAAATTTTTCATTCCCAAATAGGTGGAATTCCAAAATGTTGTATAAAAGTGTCTTTGTTACCAGCCTGCATATATTCCAGGCCACCAAATTAACATCTTTTGACATTTTACTGACTTGTTACTGACTTCTCCCATTGCTAATAAGCACATGGCTTCTGCCAGCGGCAAGGACAAATGACTCGTACATTTTTGAGTCTGTTTCACCAAAACCCAGGACCTCAGCAGGCCAAGAGGATGGTTCCCTTTTGCTTGAGACACTTGATATTGTCAGCTGAATGCTGTCCTATTGCAGGAATACTCTGGGTTTGAGCCACCACACATCCTTCAGAGAAGCTGTGTGCAAGTGCTGGAAAATGCTGCCATTTTCTGATTGTTTCTTTGCTTCTCCTCTCTCCTGAGAGCTGCAGATACGTGTTTAAGTGTCTGTGCCCAGTGGCGTTTTTGGAACACACACCTGAAGCAAGCTCTCCATCATTCCCAAGGATTTTACATTAGGCTTTGTGAGTGTCTGTTGCTGAGCCGCTGGGTGGCATCACTGCATCATTTTGGGTTCATCAGTGCTTCATTTTTCAGGAACATCAGAAAGATGCCGGCTGCCCAAACAAGAAAAATAAGCAAAAGAGCTCACTCAGATAATTTAGTAACATAAGTATTAGCTATAGACATTGTAGCTTTTCTCTTACATTTTATATTAAAATAATTAATATGCTTGCTTGTATCTTTGATGTTGGTTCTTCATATTTTTGCATTCATGCAAAACTGGTAACACTAATTAAATCAAATGCAGAATCTACTTGCCCATACGCATAAGCAATGACATTATTAACACTGGAAAAAATACCATAATTTTGTTACTTAATATTGCCATAATGTTTACCAATCTATGCCATATTACATGATATTCTACAAAAAGAGACCTTTATGTGATTTCAGATTAAAAGAGACAAAGATGCAGCTGGAAGGTTGTGCTTTCTAGTGGATAGTGTTCATAACATATATTTCAACAGTATCCATGTGTTTCTGTTTTTCAGTGTATATCATCTCAGTACTCATATGAGGTCATCATATCAACCTTACTGTTAGGGAAACTAAGATATAGGAAATCTAATGTGGTTTATATAAGGATGCTTGGGAGATCCTTATGCAGAATATTGAATCTAGATATTATGACTTGGATCATTTTACATGTAGAAAAAAAACTGAAGGAAGGTTTATATTAATTTTGCCTATTGTGTGTTCACCCCTGTAAACTAGCATTACTTGTGTAGCTCCTTCAAGGTCTGTATGTATTTCAAAGGTGGAATTTCCATTTGAGAATGATTCTGCTCTTGAGAAAATATATTCTACAAGATAGTTGGGTTTTCTGTCCCTTTCTTTCCTCAGATCTTCATTTAATTCAAATTCCTATTTTTATGTTTGTGTATGTATTTTTTTATCTTGTGTCTTCCAGAACAGTTTAATTGGGATGATTATCTGAAAGAGACTGAATCAGTAGCTGCCCCTCTGCATTGTTTCAGACAGGTATGCCAGATACTATTTTGCAAGTGTGTGTGTATTGTATGCCTGTTACAGGGTGAGCCTAGAAAAACTTTCTCATTTAGACTGCTTACAGACTTCCCATTTGACTTCTTTTCATCTGTAGTTATCAGTAGCTTACAGTTTTGGCAGTTACTAGCTACGGAAGTTTTTTCATTCCTGGTTTCTGCCTCGAGCCAAATTTTGAGGGTTTCATTATAATTGTGTCTTTGAACTCTGTTTTCCTTTAAAAAAAAAAAACTACTTAATGAAAACAGATAGCTTTGTCAGTGTTCAAAAAGGTTTGCTACTTTTTTTCAATAATCTTAACGCTACCATGGTTTTAGTGAGCATTTAAAATTTGGCTGATTGTCAGAGGAGTCTTTGCCCCATTTTTGAAACATTTCTTTCAATTCTGTCTAGCTATAAGATGTGTGTGTAGTAGAGTTGAGTCACCACTTTTTTCCTGGATCTCTAATATGTTTAATTTTGTCTCTTTCTTAACAGAGTGTTTTCTACTTAGGGGTAATAGATACTAAAATTAAAAAAAAATTAAAATCAAGAGGAATATATGGGAATACAAAGGAAGTACTGGATTTATGATGTTTAATGTACTATTTTGTGTTACCCTGTAGCCTACAAATTTTGATCCCCCCTACTTGATGACTTAGTATGTATTTGCAGATGCAGTTTCAATCTACCATCTTGTGTAACCTAATGACCTCCAGCTGTTCAGCCCTCTGGAGACTGAGTCGATCTCTTTAGGCATCTTTCTCTCTGTTTTCCCAAGCTGAGGTGTATCTTGTCTGTGTAAAATTAAATAAGATTCATTTTGGTCTGTGTGCCCTCACTGTGTTAGTAAGATAGTTGCTAAAGAATTGGATTGTTCAGGTTCATAGAAGTGTAATAGGTGTGACAAGCAGTGCATGTCTAGTTTAGTGGCTTGGGCATGTTCTGAAATTGTTTTCTAGGGTCTGTTGGGGGTCTGACTGTACTGTAAATGATACTGGCCTCCAGTGGGGGCCCAAATAAAAAGCAGCACAAATTGAATAGTCTGAGAAGGAGAGGAACCATCACTCAGTGAGTCTGAAGCAGTTGCAGGAATGGAGAATTAGGAGAGAGAAACACAGGTGGTAGCATTTCTTCATGCTAGATCTTGAATCTTAGCTTGCTCTTTGTAGATGAGGGGTGAAGAGCCCCTCACATGCTGCATTCAGTGGGAGGTGGCTAAAACCACTGATGTTCATGGCTCTGAGGGGAGCTGCAGAAATTAATTTCACAGAATGTGTTTTTCACAAGGCAGACACCTCAAACTCCTCCTGGGTAGAGGCAGAGGGTTGTAAGTTGTCCCTGGATCTTTCTGAGGTTAATGCCATACTCACAGACCATAAACCACCATGACCAGAGTTTATGATCCCAAGGAATGTAACTACTGCAGAAAGCTGCTCAAAAGCCTTTCCATGTATCTTTCTTGCATTTTCCTGTCGCCTAGTAATGGTCAAAAAGTCTGAACTGAGCAACCAAATAATGCCTTGAATAGAGGTGCTGAGGTGACGTGCATTGACAGGGATAAATCCATGTGACCTGGATTGCTTAAGGAGTGTGTGAATTGGAAAGAAGAGCTTTAATTTATGTGCACAGCAAATTTCAAAACAATTTGCATATGCAGATTTTCATTTTTTAAGAGTTGACCTTTAAGTAGAAAGTGATACACAATGGTGATAAGTGCAGAGCTAGATCCTCTCACTACATAATGTTTGCAGATTTTTGAACCTAAAGTGCTTGTGCTTTGTTTAGTACTAATTTGACTTTTATTGGGTTACACATGAATTGTACATGTCATTATTACTTTATGTAATGTGAAGAAATACATTGCTGTGACCAGCCAGAAAATAAAGAGCAGCAAGAAAATTAATTTGACAGTTACTTCCAGAATTTGTGACCTGTGGGAATTTTAAAAATTTAAATTTTGTAGTAATTAAAAATTACCTGGATAACAATAAATTAAAGCCTCTACCATAAATTAAGACACAGACAGATAATGGAAATTGATTAAAGTATTTATCTTAATTTAGAAGGTGTTTTATCTGTTGCTTTAAGTTGTTTTTAATAGCTACTTAAAATTTTAATGCACTTCTTATTCCTTTTTCTTGCCCTGAAACTTTTTCCCAGGCAGTTGAAAATTTTAAACGTAACAGCTCAGTCCCTTGTGGTTAGAGCAGAACTTAAAGCAAAGCTGTTACTGAGCAAGGTTTTGTTATTTTATTTAAAGAAAAACTAGTATGGAGGACTTACCTTTTTGGAAGAATGCCTTGAATTCACCTTCTCCACAAACAAAGAAACAAACTCCCTGATTTCTCAATTTCTGTTGCTTTTCCATGTTGTACAAAATAACAGCTTGACAAGCAATATCTTGAAATTGAATTGCCCTTTAAATTTAATATGCTTGGGCTCCCCTTTCAGCCAGCCTGCTGTCTTGAGTTCAGCACTGGCAGATGCTCACTGAATTTTGCTCGCCTCTTTGGCTTTTGGGCTCAGGCTCCTCCAGGGTTCCTGGTAACCCTGATTCAGGGTGTGTTGTAAATAGTGCACCTGCACAATATAGCAAATAGAGAAAGATGTATTTTAGACATTTAAATGTGGTGGAGAAAAAATATCTCTAACACTTGTCACAGGAGCAGATTTCTCCTGTCTTTTCCTATGTTTGCAGACAGGTAAGTGCACTCTGTCTGCCTGCTGTGGGATCCCCACCTGACCTGGTCAGGTTAGGCACAAGGGGACATCGGAGTCCTGTGAGTGCCCATGGTTTTGGGTATTCTAACGTGCCTCCTGTATTAGAAATTAGACTGTGTTAGTCTGCATGGGGTAGCTGCTGGGTTTAAATGTCATGGGGAATGCTGCTTACAGTTCTGGGTGCCTGTATTCAAAAACAACTTTGTACTGAAGAGTTGCAGAGAATAGTTTCCAGGGTGATAGGAGAATAGTCATCATCTCCTAAGAGAAATTTCAGTGCTTGACTTATTTTCAGTCTTGAAAAGGTACTGAGAAAAAGTCAGTTGTAGCTTTCAGTTTTATTTGCTAAAGTGCAAAATTAGATTAAATTATAGTGTTGGCCAAAAATTCCATCAATAAAATTTAGGCTGGAAATGAGGAGACTAATAAAGAGAAAAGTAAGAGTCATTCCATCCCAGCTAGTGTTACTACAAAGTTTTAAAAATCATTACATGTCATTTGCTTGCAATATGACAGAAGGCAAGTAATCAGACTGCAATCCAGTCAATCTCTGCCTGTAGTGTGTTGATACATGAGTAAAAAATGCCCTCTTTTGTTCATCTTTAGCATGTGACAAAAAGTTCTGCCTAACGACCAAATTGCAATTGTCACATTTCTTTTCCCTGTGCTAATTAAATTGGCATTACATTGTATGTATGTGATTATATTCAGTTCTCTATAAATAAGCATAATCTACAATTTTTGTATTAGCACAGGACTTTAGGACTGTTTTCTGTCTTAAAAATGCTAACACTAACTCCTTTTTCTGTCTTCTTTCTTTGTAATGTAAGCTTTTTTTTTTGATGCAGAAGGGTCCAAATTTTGTTTAGATTTCCAAAATATTATTATAATGAGGATAATTATTTATTTTAAATTGGAAGTTAATAAACCTTGTGGTTGGGATTTTTTTTTTTTTTGGATGTGTGTGTTGGTTTGTGTTTTAGCTTTTTGGGTTTTTTTGAGTGGAATGTCATGTTTCCTAATGTCCTATTCCATTCACTTCACTCTTGTGTTCACATCTTCATAATGATTCCCTTGTTACCCTACCTAGCATCTTCACCTCTTTAGAAATCAATCATGCTTATGCAGTTGGTAGGTTATCCAGTTGCCTTTTCTGACTTGGCTGCTAGACACTCAAAAGTTTAAAAGCTTCTTCATATTTATAATTTTTATGCTAAGTTTGGAGGAAAGCTGTCTATTGAACTGGCTGGTGAATTTAGCAGTACTAACACAATAAAAAAAAGCCTTTTACCTTTTATTGTAGTCTAGAATTCCGCCTAAGAACGATTTCAAAGTTGGTATGAAACTGGAAGCCCACGATCCTCGCAACGTTACCTCAGTTTGTATCGCTACCATCATCGGAATCACTGGTGCCAGGCTAAGGTTGCGGCTCGATGGAAGTGACAACAAAAATGATTTCTGGAGGCTTGTGGATTCCTCAGACATACAGCCCATTGGGACCTGTGAAAAGAAAGGGGGCATGCTCCAGCCTCCACTTGGTAAGTAACAAAGCTGTTGACCAAATGTGTGTGGAGCATTGTTTTCAGAAAGTCAAATTTAGCTTTCTGTCTTGGCAAATTCAGTGGTATGAACATCTCATCAAACCATTATTTAATTGAAAAAGAGGTAAGTAAACTAATTCTGACTAAGTGAATTGTGGCTTTTTCTTATCTTTTCATTCTTCTGACAAAACAATGAGCAGGTTTTTTGTTGTTGGTGTTTCTTAATAGGCCCTTAATATTAAATGTGCCCATTCTGTAAGTGTTCCCTCACACACAGCCTGCCTTGTGTGTGTGTATACAGTGTTTTGTTGCATGATGCCATACGTGCTCCTGTTGGGAGCCCTTGGAAAGAACTGGAGAAAGCCAAATTGCCCCTTAACTCTTCATCAGTGCATCCAAGCAGCTCACAAGAGGGCACTGGCTGCTGCAGGCTTAGGAAGCTTTGGCAGGGCTGCTGAAAGGGCAGTCAGGATGTTTCCTTGGGCACCGAGCAAATTGTGTTCTAGGACAGGCAGCATAAGGTGGGTTAGTGCAGAATTGTAGCATTCTGCTCTGAATTTTTACTCTCAGGTAGTAAAAGCAACACTCCAGAGCTCTAGCAAACTGCAGGCTCAGACTGCATGATATTCTCATTCCCTCAAACCAACATATGTTCAGGAATGTCAGATTAATTTGTCATGGCTAGTTTGTGAGCACAACAAATGCTTGTGAACAAGGTATAGCTTTCTTATGCTTAGAAATATCATGCAGAAATTCCTTTGTCTTCCATGAGCAGTATGAGTGACAACATTGTGTCTCCTCCAACTGAGAAATAGTTCTTGGGTTTAGACTTACTGAGGAAGTTTATTAAATAGGGAATTCTACAAAGCAATTCCTTATTACCTGGTGAATGGTCAGAGGTAACTTTGACTAAAGTGCTAGAGGTAGTAAAATGTGACATTGCCTTTCTTTGCTGTGATTAACTTGTATATTTAGATCTGCATTCTTATACCATATTTGTCAATAGCTTAAACTTCTATGTATGGAAATATTTAAAGATTTCACAATGATCTGCAAATAATTTTGCTTTTAAAAAAGATGAAGAATGACCAAAATTTACCCAAACACACTCTGCCCTTTTCTTCTGTAATTTTTAGAAGATGCAAAAAATATTAAAGTAATAAACTGTAAAATAATTTTTAAATTACCTGTATACAGAAATTGGTTGCTGCTGCTTTTCCATCTTATGCTTATGAACCTACTTCTGGTTTGGTGCCATCAGTAATTCTTAGGGAATTCTTATTGGAGGTTCAGTGAGGATAGGTATGCTTTCTCTCAGTAGCCTCTCAAACTGCTTGTCATTCTGCTTTGGAAGCAACTTCCAGTTTTTCTGTTTAAAAGATGAACTGAAAAGTATAATTTCACTACAGTATGAATCTTGATTTGCTTGTAAAAAGACTGACACAGGAAAAGTTGACTTAACCTTTAAGACACTTCGCATAGATTATAAGGGTGGATTTTTATGCTATTGTGGTTCTTCAGAAGCACAAGAGAATCAATGCAATCAGGGTGCCAGTCTAGAAAAATACTGCTTATGATAGATAGAGTTTGATCCAGAAGGGCTTTTTTCCCCTTCCTTCAATGGATACATAGAGATTTGGATTGAAAACACTGGAAATTCCTGACATCAGGAAAAAAGTTGGGGTGTTTTTCTTTTTTTTCCAAGAAGTTTCTCAGTTTAACCTCTCTGAAGTCTTGATATAACCTTCTAGAATGAATGAAGTGAAAAAATGGAAGAGCATGGCAGTTCCTTCAGCTGCACACATGAACACAGCAGTTTTTAAAATGTGTTTTTAAGTCAGAATGATGAGTAAAACGATGCTGGTAGTGTATGATGGGGTCAATTAGTCAAGAGGAGAAACCTTGCATGACCATCACTAGAAAGGTTGACGCCTTCTCCTCAGATACTGTTTCTTACTCTTTAAGTGGTCAGGCTGCCTGCAGTGCAGAGCCTAACAAGCAGCTGTTCCCCTGCACTCAGGCATTCAGGTAAGTTTACCTGCCCTCTGAACAATTGCTGATTATTCAGAAAAGAATGTGAGTGCCAGTATTTTGGCCCTCCTGCCCTAGATTTTTCTAGAGATATGCTGAGTTCCAACAATCAAACATTCTGGCATACCTAGATAAATTTTTGAAAAAGCCTTTTTGGCAGTTTTACAGCATCCTGTTCCTGGGTAAAGCTGGGAGCTAATTGGGTGTATAATTACCTCCTGTTAGACATTTAACCAACGGCTTTTTTTTTTCCTTAGTAGTAGGGAACCTTCTGGATACTAATGTTCCACTTCTATCACAATAACTAACTAAAATAGTCCCTCCTACCTGATTTTTACATGGTTTTAATTATGCAAGTTACATAAGGGTTTTGAGAAAGTGATTATTGCAGCAAAGTGTTCCTGTTCCAGCCTCTTTTCCATAGCTTTTTGTTGTTGAGAACTTAATGTTCTGAGCAAATTACATTGCACTTAGCATTTTCTCTGATTTTACCAGGACAACTTAAAGACCAAATGAAGTTAATTGAAACTGTTGTCTAGTTGTCGTTCCTGTGTCTTGCTTGTATATCTTTTCTGAGCTACCTGGTTGAGAATATTGTGTTTCAGTAACCACACGTGTTCAGGTTTTATAAAGACTGCTATGAAACCAGACCTGACAATCAGCTCAGTGGTCCCTGAATTATGACACCGTTTATCATAGAGGAGGTCTGCATTAATTTAGGTGTTACATGGGTAGTTCTGGCTTTAAAACTGTTTATTCTACTGCAGATAGCTTAAAGGTATGAGCTCAAGAACCATTATAGCATATAATCAAATTTTAAATGTGTAAGTTATTTAACTGATCGGGAATTGCAGATATGTTCCACCTTTCTAGTTACAGATTTTTAAGACAATTGTTAAAGATCAGTTATGAGGGAACTCATGAGCTCTTGGCAGATTATGGTACTATTTGCTTTGTGGAAAAAATTCCTATTTGCTGTATTATGCCTGTTTCTCTGCATAACTGTTCCAGACACCTAACTGCTAAAGAAGCAGAAAAAAATGTCCAGTATGTCTGTTATCTTACTCATTACTTTAAAACATTCATTTGGAAAGCAAAGGAAGCAAAAGGATTTTTTGTTTGTTTTATCTTTTAACTAGAAAGTGGTTGATTGTGAAGGAAGATTATATGGAATAAGGTTTTCAGCCAAACCTTTGTTCTGTTTGAATAAGGTAGTTCATCCAGAGAAATTTGATTGTTGTTTATGATTTTTATTCACTTGTTAATGAAGAATGATAAAATATAAAGGCCATCTGGTTTATGTTTTTCAATATGATACATGATTTATTGCAATTACTTTTTTTTTGTTCACTCTTAGGCATACTTTGTTTTTATGGCTATTTATGTATTTATTTTAATGAGAGAAGGAAGAAAAACCAATTGCACTGGTTTTTTTTTTTTTTTTTCTGTGGTTTGGTGAAAGAATAACAAGATTCTCAAAAATAAAAAAGTATCTTCTCAATAAATGAGCTAGAACTTGAAGCGAAAGCTAGGTGCTTGTGCCAGGGAAGTTCCACTGGACCTGAGACTCTGGAACAACCTAATGGTCTCCTGTACTAGGAATTGCATGTCATTAAATCCTAGAAATTAATCTGTAATGCCTGATGTTATGATGAGTGATTTTGCAGGCAAGTCACTCAGAATGGAAACGAATCGCACGGCTTTCTGCAGCTACAGCGAGCATGTTCATTTCTTCTTAGCTGCTTCTATTTTGGCCAAGTCTGAAACAGAGGGAATGAGGCATTAGTGAAACAGACTTTATATAAAACCTTTTTCTCCTATTGTATTTTAAAAACTGAACGTAGGGCTGTTTGCTTAGTTTTTTGTTTGTCCTCAGGGTTCCAGATGAATGCATCCTCTTGGCCAATGTTTCTTTTAAGAACTCTCAATGGAGCTGAAATAGCACCTGCAGCATTCTTTAAGAAGGTAAGAAGAAAGGCTTTTCTAGTGAACAACTTCCAATCAATTGGTCCATGGTTACATTTTTTAATGAGGATGCTAAGATAGTACCCTGTTGTCTGCAGCAAAGACAGGGAAGGCAAGACTATTATTTGAAATGACTTTGAACTGGATTGACATGCTATGGAACTAGACAGAAAGGAATCTGCTTCTAGTCCATAGAGAGGGCTGTTTCTTTTGTTGAGCTGAGACTTCAAAGTATGGTGTGTTATTTAGAAAAAATGTGAGGAAATTACTGTGAAATATGGAATATTATTTAAAAATAACAGTAATATTAAAATGACTTGGTTAAATTTTTTGTTGAGGTGATAAAACGCTGTTGTCATACTGAGTGTGTTTTTGGATACTGAGAGTGATACTGAGAAGTATGTCAGCAAATCAAACAGTTGGGTTTAGGCCTGCAATCGCATCACTTGGTGTTAACTTCATATAATTATAATTTTTTTTAGATAAGATAATACAAATTTTCTGAGGTGTGATGAGCCACACTTCTCTGTGCTAGCCTGCAGCACATCTGAGATGGGCTTAGTTAATAAGGTTCTTGAGGCTGACATGGTAATTTGTGTTCTGTCAGATCATAACTCCTGCTGTGGAGTCACACTTATACCAGTCACATTCACTTGAATTTTGTTTTTCTTTTGTCCACTTGGAATTGGTCTGAGGCCAACTGAGTTAACAGAGGCCTATAAATAATGTCCAATGCTAATGAATTTTTCATGGATTAAATGAGAGGTAAAGCTTTTACTAGACAGTTATCAGTCCCCAGAAATACCCATGCTCTGCAAACCTCTTCTTTATTAGCATGTAATAATTTCATTTTAGTGTCTTGGCTGTCTTGCTGCCCAGACATAATGTATTGGTTGCAACCTATTGCTTATGTAAATACTTTTATCAGGGTCTTTCTGTCATGGAGAATTTTACTAATTATCCCAGCTGTGTTTGGGGAATAGAATGAAGATTTTTGTAGTGCAGAAGAGCAAATGCAAATTTGAAATATGACTGAGTTTCCTTGAATGTATTTCTGTAATTTCCTGAGAGTAGTGACTGTAAGGAGGTAAGAATGTTGAGGAAAAATAAAGAGCTGCTACTTAGTTTTGTAATTTTTTTAAGAGGTCATAGAAATACAAATATTCTACTATGCTTATTTTTGTAGGAACCACCAAAACCTGTGCCAAACTGCTTTAAAGTTGGAATGAAACTTGAAGCTATAGATAGAAAGAACCCATACCTGATTTGCCCAGCAACCATTGGAGATGTTAAAGGAGATGAAGTTTTTGTTACATTTGATGGTTGGAGAGGAGCATTTGACTATTGGTGCAGGTGTGATTCTCGAGATATTTTCCCAGTTGGATGGTGTAGCTTGACAGGAGATGCATTACAACCACCAGGGAACAATGGTAAGATGACTAATAATATCGCTTAATTGTTTTTCTCCTCAATTACAGCAGAATTTTAAAAACCAGCTGGCTATATGCAGATAAGACCGAAGATTTGATTTGTGAGTAGCAGGCAAGGATGAAATGTTGTTGAGTTTTCTTTATGTAGCTTAAAGCTAATAGAAATTGCTGGGAAACAATTTTTGCCTGCTCGTAGGTATCTCTGGGAACATGTTTTATTTAATACTGTTAGGAGGACTTCTGATGACCTCTAATTTTTGTGTGCTTGTAAAGAACCTTGTACTAGACTTTCTGTTTGTATTATTGATAGATACATGCTCCTGTTTAGTGATACTAATATATTGGCTGCTGCAGCACTTTATGTTATGCTAACTGCTAAGTAAAGTAGTCTTTCCTTCTGTGATGATTTCAGGTCTAAACTATATCTTTAATGTTCCTCCTTTCATACTCAGAAAATTCTGTCTTGCAGCTGCCTATTCTGAATGCTTTATCATACTCTTGCCTTTAGGGATGTTTGTTGATCAGGTGATAGTGTCTCTTTAACTAATGGACACTTTATAATGAATAAATCTCTACAGTAAAATGAAGAGAAATAGCATGAAGAGGGATATGCCTCAGTGTAATCCCTTTGCTACTCTGAAACTGCTTGTCAGGTTTCTGTAGTGTAAGGCTTTTCTGTCAAATTGTTTGAGCTTTTCTATCATCATCCTATAAAAAATTGTCAGGAAGAGAGGTTTTGAAGGAGTAGAACAATATTTTAATTAATTTCTCTATTAACCAGAATGATTTGTTCTCAGTAAGAATTTTCATAGCTGGTGTTAGGTGAGTAAGGAACAAATAGATTGGTGTCACAGAACTCTCACTTGGAAGTAGGAAAGGAACAAAAACAAGAAGGCAAGAATACAGTAATGTTTCCTGGCCTTTCCATCCCCATTATTTTTCTCAGTCTTTTGCTAGCAGATCAAGAACTGTATGGAAAATCTTAACTGGAATTAGCTAAGGGTACCTCTGCATCCTTGCTCTCACCTGCCTGTCTGAAGTTTCTGCCAGGGGTCACAGTACCTGGAATCACGTTTTGTCCATTCTGGCAGATTTCAGCAAAGGAGTAACTCTGTGTGTAGCTGTACTGTCCAAAATGATCTGCTGGTACAAACCTGCGGTGAGAGGGAAGGGGAAAGTCAGGTGAGGATGATGGACATTGGATCAGAAGTCTTCTAATAGGTATCACACTGACCTTAGTCTTAATGTTTCTGTGCTCCCAATCTCTAAAGTGTCTTTCTCAGCTTCTTCAGGAGGTTGACCTTGTCTTGGGAGATCATGAATGAGATGTATTATTACACTTAACTATTTCTTTACTGTGGGGGTGAATGTGCACTGGAACGGATTGCCCAGAGAAGTTATGGAGTCTCCCTCACTGAAGATATTCCAGAGCTGTCTGGACACGACCCTGTGCCATGTGCTTGGAGATGACTTTGCTTGAGCAGGGAGGTTGGACCAGGTGACCCACTGTGGTCCCTCCCAGCTTGACCCATTCTGTGATACACAAGAGGGGCTGTGCAAATTAGTGGCATAGAATTTTTAAAATATATTTTTGTGAGTTTAGATTGCTGAGTCCATTTTCATCTTCTAGAAAGAATATTATTAAATTGTTTAGTCTACTCCAATTTCATTGCTGGAAAGCCAGTGATATTTTGAGGTAAGACATCCAGAATTTTTTCTTGCCTGATTACTGCTTAATAGCGCTCAAAGTTGTTTGACAGTAAGTAAAGCTGTTTATGTAATCCAGTCCTTCAGGTAATAAACCAAACAACATTCAGACTTGAAATACGTATCCAGTTAGGATACTATTGCTTTATGATGAGAAACAAAAACACTCCAGGCATTAATAAAATCTGAAGCAAGGTTCTTACAGGCTTGTAATTAAAACTGAGAATTTTGGACATGTAATAGAAGCGGAGTGCAGAGAGGTGCAGGCTGGAGTGTTTTTCATTTTTGTTTCCAAAAGTGAGCCCAAAGTTAACTGCAGTTTTACTGCAATTGTGCATTCATTTTTCCCCATTCTGAGCATAAATAATTCATTATTTCTATTTTGCTTTCTGTTGTTATTTATTTTATATTTTATGTTTGTATGTTTTATACACAGTTGTTGAATTTACATATCTGGATAAAATATATTTTGCTCTCAGGTTAGGTTTTTCACTGTTATTTGATTGCTATTGAGCTATTAGAGAACTGCAATGACAATCCTTTATTAAGATTTAAATAATAGCTTCAAGAAGAGTATAATTAAGTTGCATGAATTCAGAAATATGATGATGTTGTCAGGATTCTTCATTACATCACACTAACATTGACTACGCCTGTTAGGGGAGAAAATATTAGGTAATATTGACTACATTGCAGGAATTCCTTGAAGTGTTATTCTGATCCGGACCTTTTTTCTGCTGGTTACCTCAGTATTTCTGGCTTGAATTTCTGCAATAGAAAGTGAAAATAATTGATTTAAGAGTGGCTTGAATTCCAGAGTGAATATGAAAAGTATTCTTGATTTTTTAAAGCTGAAAGCATTTAAATTGTTAAATAACTACTAAGGGCTGAAAAAAAAAGCCTCAGAATTTAGTGAACATGCAAAGCCAATATCCTGCAATCTAAATATGAAAATTATAAATGATGCTTTTAATTTCATTCATACCTAGGACAACAATTTCCTGCCATGAGATGTATTTTGGGGTCTAATTTAACCTTTTGAAGGAGAGATGAAATGCAGTAAGGGTGACAGTATGAAAATAAGGGAAGATTGTATTTCAGCTGTCTACTGTCTTAGCCTTTTAGGATGCCCAGAGAGAATGTAGGACCTCTGCCGTGGGAGGAGTTTAAGAACAAGCTTCTAGGATGTGGGTTATTCATACCAGATTATGTGTTATTTTTACTCTTTATAACTGTATATTCTGTATCTCTCATTCATATTAGACAGCTCATGAACTAAGATAAAAGATGTTAGGTGAAAAGTTGTTTTGGACCATCTGTTGATAGCCTTCAGGCTCTAATATTTGTGTTATGTTTTGTGTTTGGTCCTTATCAGAAGATGTGACTTCAGTGAACCTGGCTGGGTGTCAGGATATGTGCACAGTGGTATGAAATGTACCATTCAGTATTCATACTATCAGAAGCTGTGCTTGGCTAATACTGTAGCTTTGTCATATCTCTGATAGTACTAATTGGTTATGTATGGATTGACTTCAGTGCTTGATGTTGGCTTGATCTGCTGCCTCAAGGTTAATATTTTAAGGATGCAATAGATTGTTTTCTCTGTTTCTCTTGGTCATTTAAATGCTTTTAGAGATGACTGAAAAACACATAAACAGTGTTGTGAAAAGTACCTAATGAAAGAGATTGACATGGTAATGTCTGTGCTGGACCAGTCTGAAGGACCATCTGTTCTTGAAGGCTTTCTCCAGCACTGGCTGAAAGCAGATGTCTGAAGAAAATCATAAGCACATAGGAGACAGGTTTGCCCAAGTGTTCCTAGTATCTGTCCATCTGCAGCGCAGCTCCTTCCAAGCCCAGAAAAATACTTTTATGCTGATTACCTTCTCAGGTACTTTTAGCACCTATAACATCCTTTTTAGCATGTACAACATAAGGTGTTCTCTACCTGAGTATATTTTTTGTGGAAAAGGAGATACTCATTTTCCTTGTTGGTAGTTTCATTTGTTGTCCTTGGTTTCTTGTACTGAAACAGTTTCTTGTACTTCCAGTACTTTAACGGGAAGATTTTGGTTTTGTTGTTCAGGGATCAGTTTTATTCCTCTGGTCACCCTTGTTCTTCTGTACTGTTTACTTTCCACTTACAGCATTTTTGAGCCACTGGATCCAGAAGTTCACAATATATGGAAACTTAGTGACATAGTGGTGCCTTTTGTTATGTTTTCTGTTCCTTCCATGATTATTCATTAAATGGTATTTGGGATTTTTGGACTTATACTGATATTGTGTGCTTCCCTGGAGTGACTATGAATGCAAAATAAATTCAGTCTTGTTGTTTTAGTGTAACCTTCTGCATTGGCTCATTCTGAAATTTGGTCATCTCTTGGGTCCATGTAACTCCTGCTTTTGATATACTTTAAGAAGGCTTTTAAAGTTTTATATCTTCTGCATGTTTTTTTATTCACTCTTTTTCTATGCCAAATATATTGGACTTTTCCATTTAACCACAATAGATTGTAATTTTTACTTTACTCTGTTGAATAATAGAAATCTGTTACTATACCCAAGAATATTCTTGATATTCATGTATTGCTTTTGTAGCTTGTTGTATTTTGAAGCTTATGATTGAAGTAAGCAGCAGGTGACTGGAGATTGCCAGAACAATTTCTATTTGCTGTTTCTGTATAAATTCATTTTACTGTTTAGCTATTACATGTAAATGGCAGTTACTTAGACAACCCACCTTTTTATTAATAATAGTAGTAAAACCTTTTTCATAAAAGAGAGAAAACAAAAGAATGACTGGGTACAAGCCATGTGGGAAACAATAAGTAGTGTCACCTGCAAAGATTGATTTCAGTATTAAGTAGTATTTATCATTTAGATGGGAACAGCATCTGGAAAGAAGGGGATCAGTTTCTACATATCCATGATCCCCCCCCAACCTTACGAAGCTGGATTTTTGAAGGATAAAGGTGATACAAAGAACTCAAAAAGTTGGAACTGCTCTCTGTGCTCTAAAAATTTGGGAGGCCAAAGAAAGATAATAAAATCATTTTAAAAAACAACCAAAAACATGATACTCTGTAATTTTTACTATTAGTCATATTCTTTCTTTCCCTCTCTTCTGTCTCCCCCTCTTCCTCACCGTGTGTCCCATCATTGCTTTTCTCCTAATTTAGTGCATTTATTGGCAGAGAGAGCAATCTTCTTTCATTATGCTAATCAGAGTGTTGATGTTAAAGGTCTCCTTCTAAAACTGTTTGCAGCAAAAGAGCAGTACAGGCTCAAGT